CTCAAAGTATATTCTAAATCTCTCTGCTATCACCCTTTCTACTACCACCGCATGTAAGCCTTCTGCGTCTCCGCCAGGACCTATGCAGAAGCACTCGGGAGCTCATTTCCTTGCTTCCCTTTCCCACCCTGTGCGGCACGATCCTGTCCTTTCCCTTTTTAAAACCCAGCAGTGACTTCCAGTTTTCCTCTCCAGGCTCATTTTTGATTCTCGCCCCCTAGCACGCATCCACCCCACTGGGGTTTCTTGCCCGTAATGACTTCAAAGACTGTATTTGCTTCAGTTTCAGTTTGAGTGTCACGGACAGCCCTGGAGAGGTCGTTCTTGACTACCTTGCTTTAAATAGTTCTCAATTAATTAAAAACAGGAATCCCTGCCCTGTTCCTGTCTTAATCTCCTCTTTGTTTGGTCTCTCTCTGTCTCGTTCATCAGTGTAACTCAGCACAACCCAGCACTTACCATATGGTAGACAGATAAATACTTGTGGACTGACTGACTGAAACAGAAAAGACAGGTGAAGACTCAATACCTTGTTTCGAAGGTGAAGTTCTTAGGATGCCATAGAGCCTTTGAAACCTTATTCCCTCTATTTGCATACTGACTGCCAATACATTTTAGCCATTTCTTTCGGAGAGAGATGCTTAGATTCATTATCTTTTAATTATCTTTTATAGGAAAACAGGTTGCTGCTCCAAAAACATCATTTCCCCATTGTTTAACTTATTTCACAATGTGGAATATATAATATTAACTAAGTACCAAGAACAGTCTTTAAATAAAGAACAGACACGTCGTAGCACCAAAATAAAGATGGAAACAGGCCAGCAGTTCGCCTTCTGCAATGTTTTGTCAAAAAACAAATTCCAAGGTGTGTTTTGGTGTATTTTCCCGTGTACTTCTGTATCGCATGATTATTTGGTAAGAGTGGGTGCAGGTGCGTCTTTCCTCCCAGAAGCAGACGTTTGCTCAGTTGTGGTCCTGATCCTATTGATTAGGTCACCCCATTGAGTGAGTTCTGACCTGAAGGTCACAGATTACTCAACAGCCTACACTTGGCCAAACAAACTGTACTTGTGCGTGCCAGAAATGAGAAGGCACAGTGCGCACCAACTTGGGACAATAAGAATTCCGCTCCATATTCCGATGAGAAGAGTCTGAATGGCAGGTTTTAATTTTCTTGTCAGTGACAAACATGCAAAGATGAGTGAACTCTGTGTTCCCAACCACAGAGGCTCTCCAGCTTATTCTACAATACTCAAGATGGAATGCGAGCATTTGACTGGTTCCTCACTCTCTCCTGTTACCCTGCCCTGCCCTCCTCCTGCCCTTTGTGGACACTTGCCTTTTCTGAAATCATACATCATCTGGGACAAATGCTGGGTATGATGCTTTTTGGACATGACACATGATATCCAAGGAGGGTCTCCTTTGCCCCTGACACTCGTTGCATGAGAGTGCAGGTCAAATGTCTTAACTTCACTGAGGAGTCCACACTGATGTCAGCATGTGTGTATAATTGCACACACAGCCCCTAGTTCACATCAGAAAGAACCCGATAGGCCCTCCCACACCTGGGACTTCAAATGTTAATGGAGCCATTCGACCACTCGGGAGATGTGTGTGTGTTCCTACTGTATACACCTATCCTCTCTGCCCCAAACTAAGTCCACAAGAATCTTCCAGACTTGTGTTTGTGTGTGGCAGGGGGAGTCTTCTGAGGGGTGTGTGTGGTGGTGGAGAAAGGTTATATTTTAAATACCCTAGGCTGGTGGGCGGGGGGTGGGGTGGGGTGGGGTCGGCGTGGGCAGCGCCTGGGTGGTGCCTGGGTGGCTCAGTTGGTTAAGCATCCAACTTCGGCTCAGGTCATGATCTCACACCTTGTGAGTTTGAGCCCTGCATTGGGCTCTGTGCTGAGAGCTCAGAGCCTGGAGCCTGCTTTGGATTCTGTTTCCCTCTCCCTCTGCCCCTCCCCAGCTTGTGCTCTGTCTCTTTCTCTCAAAAATAAATAAACGTTACAAAAATAAAAAAAAAATACCCTAGGCTTATCTTACTCTTCCTGGAACTGTAGTCAGCCTGGAAACCACATAAGCACTCAAGAGGTCGACTAGTGGAACTTGCAATTCGTGATGCTCCAGATGCAGACAAGGATCAAGAATAAGGCTCCAGTTCATTTCTCCTGAGTTTGTTTCTAGTGTTGAAGGGGTCTAGCATAAGCCACTGTGGCATAAAACTTACTTTGAGCTGTAGGCATTACAATAGAGGTGGGAAGGGGCTTTTATCTTGAACTCCCTTTGTCCGTCCAACAGCAGAGCCCCCCAGAAGAACTCAAATGTCATCTTCAGCTTCACAACCAGGAAAGAATGATTCTTATCCCCTGCACACGAGACCACCTGACCAGACACGGTCACAAAACCACCACACATGCCATGTGTTCTCCGTTTAGCTTTCCTAAATGACATTTGTTTTCCCATAAGTATTCATTCTCCCTTCCCTTTCCTGCGTTAAGATGGTTTATCAGCTCCAGATTCTAACTGCCCTTTTGAGTCACATTTTCCTGTGTGCTTCCCCATAAATGAATAGAAATTTGTCTTAGGCGAGCCGATAGGGAGGATAACTGGACAGACTGCGATCCGGTTCCTTCTTACTCCAACTGGATAATGTGCAACTATGCCAGTATGAAAAGAGTTTTCCGAGGACATAATCCTTGTGAGGTCTCAATATTTTCCTCTAAGGAGCTGGCAGAGGTTGGGGACAAGTGATAAAGTCCCAAGTTCAACTGCTTATGGGCTGGGGACGTGCACTGTTCTGCGGGACGTTTACAGAATGTAGAACTAGACCAACATTCCATTCCATTGCTCTCGGTCCCAGAAGGCTCTAGAAGCTTCTGCAGTCAAAGAGCTTCTTCCCTCTCTTGACAGCTGTATGTCTATCAGTGCACACACACACAAAAACCCCTCCTATTTCAAGGAACACACTTTAAAATACACCAGTATAGAGAATCTGAATGTTGAATATATCAGAGCAAACAAGAGGGAGAGAGCAAGAGGTGGGGCGGGAGGACACAGGGCTTACAGACTTTGCTCAGGATCATGGATTGGATTCCCAAGGAATTACCTGCGGGGGAGTTGTCCTACTAAAAGTGTCACTCTGGCTGTGTCACCATGTGTCACTTCTTGCTTGATTTAGTTCTAAGTAGGAAAAGTATCATGTGAACTAAGAGTTTACACCAAGATCCTCCACTGGTTGGGGTCATAAAAAGCACAACCCCTGTTAGGACCAGTTTTTTTTTACATGGGAAAGGAAGGTATATTTCTCAGGGGTATTCTGCAGGGTAGCACTGGACACACTTGCTTAATAAGAATCAGTGAGAGGGGCGCCTGGGTGGGTCAGTCGGTTAAGCGTCCAACTTCGGCTCAGGTCGTGATCTCAAGGCTCGTGAGTTCGAGCCCTGCATTGGGCTGTCTGTTGTCAGCACAGACCCTGCCTCGGATCCTCTGTCTCCTTCTCTCTCTGCCCCTCCCTTGCTCTGTCACTTAAAAATAAACATTAAAAAAAAAAAAAAAAAAGAATCACTGAGGAACTTTGCTTAAAGTACAGATTCCTAGGCACCCCCAGCCCCGTGAACCACCAAAATGGGATCCCCAGAGAGGGATCCTGGGAACCTGTATTTTAACAAACTTCATAGATTCCTACCATCAGGCAAGTTTGAGAAACATTGTCATAGGAGGTGGGCCAAAGCCACGGGGCCATTTCAGTAGATGGTCTGTTATTCCTGGTCTAAGATATCACTGTCTCTTGTCTGAATTATACCAACAGCCTCTTATTTGTTGCTGCAGGTTTATGGGTGGGTCCCTCTCCAGTGCCCCATCCTCAAAGCAGCCGGACAGACATATTTACTATGAAAGCTGGCTCTTCCCACTCCCCTACAAATACATCTTAATAATTTTCCACTTATCTTAGGACTCCAATCCATGATCCTGTGTCATCCAGCCCTGCCTCTTGCTCTCTCCCTCTTGCTTGCTCAAGCCCAGTTGCATTGGCCCTCCTCAGAACTGCCTCATCTGGGTCCCCACGTGAGAAGCTGTCCCAAGGCCCCCTACGCTACTCCCACCATCCCCCGCTTGACTCAGGCCTCCGCTTCAGTGATGCTCACTTGTGGTCAGCCACACGCCCCACTGCCCCTGCCCAACCTTAGGAAATCAACTCCAGCCAACCTACCTGTGTTTGCTATTTCCACAGCATCCCATACTTTCTTTCCCCCTGGAGCACTCGTCACAATTGTAACTAATTAACATATTAGCTGTGTCATTACACGTTTAAGGCCTATTTTTCCTCCCTAGAATTAAAGTTCCATGGGTGAGAGACTGGGTCTGACCTTCTCCCACTGTACCCCTAGTGTCTAGTCCAGGGCCTGGTAGGTACATAGTAGGTACTCAATAAATACTTTAAAAATAAAGGTCAAATTTAGTTACCGGTGTAATAGCACTTACTGCTATAAATGATAAGGTGCTTTCATTTCTATCTCTCCAATCTTCACACCAGCACGGTAGGTGTTATTATCTCTATTTTCAGAGTAGGGAATTGAGACTCAGGTCGTAGGATATGCTCTGGGCCTCAGAGTGGCTTTGGGGTATAGTCAGGATGAGATCTAAAGCTCATGCCCCTGGGAGCGCCTGGGCCTGGTGGGGATATCATGGGATTTCCATAACGGGACCCACAGTGGAAAATGCAGTTGGTTAAGCATCCGACCAAGCTCAGTTCATGATCTCGGGGTTCGTTGAACCAAGCCCCACGTGGGGCTCTGTGCTGACAGCTCAGATCCAGAGCCTGCTTCAGATTCCGTGTCTCCCTCTCTCTCTGCCCCTCCCTCACTCATGCTCTGTCTCCCTCCCTTCCTCCCTCAAAAATAAATACACATTAAAAAATTAAAAAAAAATAAAGCTCATGCCCCTGTCGTCCTGTCCAACCGCCTGGAGTGCCGCGTGAAGGACCATAGTTACCTATATTCTTCTTGGAACCTCTTCCCTAGGAGTCTTGTGTTTATTTTGCTCTTCGCACGGCCGATCTCATCTGCTAATACAGGGTTAAGAGGGCTCCTGGCAGGTTTGGCTGAGCCTGATAGCATCAGCTGTTTTTCCCGGAGAAAGTCTATGTTTGAGGGTCACGGTCAAATCGAAAACAATTTTTAAAGCCATCAATGAGGCAGCATCAGGCTGATGCGTTAGCTTGCTTTTATGCGAAGAAAAAAAAAAGTCCAGAAATGTCAGTAAGTCTCTTTAGTCCCAATGTGGGTGACTCTGAAAGAATAGACATGGGACACAGGCATACCGAGGCTTCTGGGAAGGCTGCCAGGACTCAGCCTCCCTGGGAACTGGCAGGCCCAGGAGCCATGTGGCTGCCAAGTGCTTGGCCAACAAGATTCCTTTCTTCCTGACTTGCCCCCGAGACTGAGGCACATGGGGGCAGGCCAGTAGCGACAAAAGTTATATAATATGTGTGTTTAATTTTTAGCAGTGGCAACAAAGCAGTGTCTAATTTGATGTCACATGTTTGGTGTTATAAACTTGTAAAAAGTATACTGAGGTTTTCATGACACATTCTATTCGGTAGCCTTGAGAATACTCCCTGGCTCATGGCTCGCCTGATGATAAGGATGTGTGGTAGGTTTGGTAGCAGGGGGCAATTGCCACTGCAAAAGCCAGAGCGGTGCCTCCTCTGGGAAAGCAAAATGCCTTAAACAGGTTTCGAGCTATGAAATGACAGGCCTCAGGAGGGGGTCTTAGATAGGAGGGGTCCTGAGACTGAACTGCTCTGCCTGGAAAAGGAGAAGGAATTCTTGCTCTGGAGATGGAGGCTTGGGGAGAGAGGACAGGAGGGTGAAGAAGAGAGAGGCGAGTGTCATGACGGGAAGCTGGGGCTTGAGCGGGAGAAACGGTCTGGGAACCTTATCATTTTTAAGGGCTGTCTGGCACATCCACCTGGGCCTGGTGGGGAAATCATGGGATTTCCATAACGGGACCCACCGTGGAAAATGGGAACAGCGCTCAGCCGAGGCAGGACACTGGAGGCCAAGATGACCAGGATGGAACAGCACCTTTGACCACTCCTGGGGCTTCTCCCAAGATGTGCAGAGGGGTCTGTAGACGCGATTCTCTAGATTTCGAGGGGCAGGGGAAACTGTGCTGACACCTGGGATGTGTCTGTAGGGTTTGTTTCCCAGACCTGTCTCTTCTTGTCTCCATTTTTGCCACCTCATTTCTTTTGAGGGAAACTGTGGTAGAAGGAACAGGGGTTTTGGATATAAACTGACCTGAATTTGAAACTGAGCTCTGTTTCAACTGCTCAACCTGTTTGAGGTGCAATGTTATTAGCCATAAAAGGAACCTCACGGGATGCGTGGGTGGCTCAGTCGGTTAAGCATCCAACTTCTGCTCAGGTCATGAGCTCATGGTTCTTGAGTTCAAGCCTCATATCTGGCTTTCTGCTCTCAGGGCAGAACCCACTTCAGATCCTGTCTCCTTCTCTCTCGGCCCCTCCCCCACTCATGGGCTCTCTCTCTCTCTCTCTCTCTCTCTCTCTCAAAAATGAATAAACATTAAAGAAAAGGATCTCACAGGATACAGAATTATAGGGATATTCAAATTAAAGGGCATGTCACGCGTGGTTTGAGCTCAGGGCCTGGAGCGGGTCGGCTTGATTCCATTTGCTGGTTGTGTGAGGTCGAGCAAGTTATTCAACCTCCTCTTACGGAAAATAGCACAAATAGTAGGTCTTTGCGAAGATCGAATGATATAATACAGCAAAGCTGTTAGAATAGTGCCTGACATTCCGGCAGGTGTTTAATAAGTGCTAACCATTGCTGTTGCTCTTACTATTACATATGTGAAATGTCTGGTCTTGGTAGAACCTTAATTACCCACTTTTGCTGTTCATTTTATAGAAATAAAGACATGGCAATTCCCATGCTACCAATACGTCTTTTTCCCAGAGGAGTTAACTAACAGAGAATCGATTGATTGCGTATCTCAGTGATGAAGGTTCATAGACTTTAACATCTCTCCTCTTACTTTATCCTGTGTAAAGACCTCTGGCTAGGGGCGCCTGGGTGGCGTAGTCGGTTAAGCATCCGACTTCAGCCAGGTCACGATCTCGCGGTCCGTGAGTTCGAGCCCCGCGTCAGGCTCTGGGCTGATGGCTCAGAGCCTGGAGCCTGTTTCCCATTCTGTGTCTCCCTCTCTCTCTGCCCCTCCCCTGTTCATGCTCTGTCTCTCTCTATCCCAAAAGTAAATAAACGTTGAAAAAAAAAAATTAAAAAAAAAAAAAAAGACCTCTGGCTAAAGGGATTTAAAATGGTGTTGATATATAAGCATATTTTATTTGGGAAAAAAATGCCATCAGTTCCAAGAATTACTCCTTATGATTTTCTTCGAATTTCAACAATCTCCTTGTAAATTGAATGTCTGGTATTCACGATCTCCCTGCGGAGATCATGCTCTCACTTAACGGTCCTCAGTTTTCTCACATTTACATTTATTTACGTAGTATTGCTGAAAGTTGATGGTTAACTACTTTCCATTGTTATTTGCAGCATACATCCGCATGCCAGAAGTTTGAATGCCATACTAAATAAAGGGGTTTAGGGGCGCCTGGGTGGCTCAGTCCGTTGAGTGTCCGACTTTGGCTCAGGTCATGATCTCGCTGTTTGTAATTTCGAGCCCCGCGTCGGGCCCTGTGCTGACAGCTCAGGGCCTGGAACCTGTTTGGGATTCTGTGTCTCCCTCTCTCTTTGCCCCTCCCCCACTCACGCTCTGTCTGTCTCTCTCTCTCTCTTTCTCTCTCTCTCTCTCTCCAAAATAAACATTAAAAAAATTAAAAAGAAATAAACAGAGGGGTTTAAAAAACAGGTTCTGGAAAGGTAAGCTTTCCAGCCCTATGTCCCTGTAGAGCAGGACTGTTTAGTGCTGATCGCAAGGCTCTCTTTCAAGGTGTAGCACAGCTTGGCAGCCGACTTAGGGCTTAGATGGTAGGCGATCTGGGTTCAAGTCCTGACTCTGAACTTGTGCATGTGACCATGGTCAAATCATTGAATTCTTCTCTTTGGTTTCCTCAAGTAAAACAGAGCAGCTGATTCTGGGAGGAAGGTGGGTGAGTTATCTGGAGTCCTGACATATGATAAATGCTCTGTAAGTGCTGGTTCTCACTGCTTACTCGTGAGGATGCTTCAGTGAATTATTTCAGTCTCCAAACCAGACTCTTTCCACCCCTAGTTCAGGAAATTATTAAATCTAGTAGTACTGAATTACTGGGAAAGATTGAGCGCTGGTGGTTGGTTGTATTCCCCAGCCATGAAGAGACACCACCCTGCACACTGTTGTAATCTTGAATTAAGTGATTCTGAATCCCCAGATAGTAGTGTTGGGGCTCCTGACTTCAAGGCAGACAGCTGCAGCTTGGTGGAAGATCTTGTCAGGCATCTGAAACCCCTCTGCCTGGGGCTGGATTCCAGTCCCCATGCCTCACTTTCTAGGAGGGACTTAACAGCCAGGCATTCGTTTTCCTGAGCTTATTTTTATATATTCTGTAAATTTCAGATGACATAATCAATGTCAATGTTTTTTAAGTTGGGAAATATTAGAAAAATATGTTATTTTGTAAGAAGTTGATACGAATGTTTATATAAATAAATGCTCAGGCTTGCCTAGATGTTGTTTTTTTTTCTTCTCTGTCGTGACGCAGGTGATTTTAGGTCCCTCATTCTTTTTTCTTTACAGAGGTGTGACATTTGGGCAAAGTCCTATATCCAAGAAAGGCTGTAAAATGCATATTAGTCAAATTTTGCTAATTATTAGCCACACCAAATGATCTGGTGGGTAGAGGTTTTTGAGAGATGATGATGTGAAGTTCAACTATCCATGTGCTTTAATTTGGATGATTTTGTAGAGTGTAGAATGAGCTTTATATCAGGCATCCTTGATTTCGAGCTCAGAAATGAATCAAAATACGCTTTCCTTTACTTCCAAATGCCTGTTTTTTTCCCCCTGAATTCTCAATCCATTTTCTCTTTTGTACCTCAGTAAATACATCCTATGATTAGTGGAGGTTGAAGGAGAAAGTACGTGCTGTTCCCCTTAGTCTAATTATTCTCTTTCCTGAGTGTTCATAAGTTTGAGCAGAACTACTGGATGCTCCGTTTGCTGGGAAACCTCCTTTCAAATTCTTCTGACCTTGGAGGTCACCAGGGCCCAGAGCCACCGTGGTTTCGGGGACCAGCCCTAGGATTCCAGTCCACTCCCGGACAGGTCCCTGTCCGACAGTAATATATTTACCTCCCTTTCTTCTATTTCTTTCCTTCCTTCTTTCCTTCCTTCCTTCCTTCCTTCCTTCCTTCCTTCCTTGTATTAAATGTTACCATATAGTCAAAGCCTCCTTTGTTCCAAACCTGCTCCCCCGCCATTCCTTTCTCTCACTCTCAGAGGTAACTCCTACCCTAGACTCCAAGGCTGTCTTTACAGACCAGTTTTTATACTTTGCTTAGTCCTCATCCACAACAATGTAGTATTGCTTTGTGTTCAACTATATATCAATGCCGTCATCCAATACATAGGATTCTGTAACTTTTTGTTTTTCCTCACTGTTATGTTTTTGAGATTTAGCCATGTTTTCACATGTAGATCTGGTGAATTAGTTTTAACTGTTATACAGGATTCCATGGAATGGTTCTACTACGATCCTATCCCCTAGTAACACTATACTGCAGTACTATATAGTATGCTATATTACCCTACTACTTCTACGGCTTTCTCTTTTTTAAAGTTTAAGAGTTTTACTACTTTACATTTAGGTCATTAATCCATATGGAAGTTACTTTCCTACATGCTATGAGGCAGAAATTTTATTTTCTTCTGCACGCGTGGCAGTTGCCCCATATTTTTTCAGTTCTTTGATGTTACATATGACAAAACTGAGGTCCGGAGAAGTGGGGTGACTTGGCCAAGGTCACACAATGACCCAGTGGTGGGGCAGTGTCAGAGAATATACTTTCTTTTCTCTATTTTTTTTTTTGACTTGACAAATACAGATTTATTTTTTTTAATGTTTATTTATTTTTGACACAGAGAGAGAGAGAGACAGAGCATGAGCGGGGGAGTGGCAGAGAGCGAGGGAGACACAGAATCCGAAGCAGGCTCCGGGCTCTGAGCCGTCAGCACAGAGCCCGACGCGGAGCCCGAACTCACAGACTGTGAGATCATGAGCTGAGCCGAAGTCGG